AAGCCTTAAGTTTGGATGAGACTTTTAAGGAAGCAGAAGAGGCCTTAACAAAACTCCGTAAGCATATGCAGGTGATTCTTTACTTTCTCTTTATATAGTGCTCTCAATGACAATAAATGAACATCAAAAATCATATTAAATCTTTTGAATAGGGAGAGTTTAAGTTGATAGTTTGTCTTATTCTCTGCTTCCCTTCTCCACAGTAAATCTTTTACAGTGAGCATTATGGCTGTACCTACCAGAAGAAAGGTACCTCTTGATGACTCCGCTGTTTTGAACAGGATAGTAAAGAAATGCCAAACAGCGGAGACAGGGAAGTTAACCCCGTCAGCTAAAGCAGGGATAAGAATATTCCATCACACAAGCGTGCTTAATAATGTTAAACTAAAACATTCTGTGAATACAAACGTGCAAAGCGTCAAACACTTAGGGAAGCCAAATAAACATTGCACACCATCGTACTGGTCAGATCCTTGTCGTTTGGAGTAATTACGAAAAGATAGAGTAACACCAGCCAAAGCTAACCTGTAGGAAGATCCCATGAGAGGGGAAGTTAAGAGGTGATTTAAAGGAAGAAGCAGGAGGTGGAGGATGGGTGGGCAGGCAGTTTGGAATATCTTTGTTTTCTTCTCTGCTGTCTGGGTTTTTTTGTCTCTTCTCTTGCATGCAGCATGTTTCCCAGGTGAGGCCTGGTGGGTCTCTGTGCTAATCTGAGTTGTCGTCTTTTTTCTTTTATCTCCTTTACTTCTGTTGTCTTCCAGAGAGGATCAAAGAGTAAAATAGAACACTGAGGAACAGGCTTGTTCTGTTCTGTGCTTCTGCATGTAAGGAAGTACATAGACGGGGGGAGATGGCCTTAATCAACACTTCTTCAGTTGGTGGAGCCATAATGCTGACAGGCTGTGTTGAAAGAAGGGGGAAGAGGAGATATGACAATTTTCTTAATAAAACTGAACTACGTCGTAGATAAACTGTTGTATGGTGTTTGAGCACTATCCACATTTCGCTGCTGTAGAAAAAGGTGTCGGTCTCAGTTAAAATGAATAATATTCTCAGCAAGTAGGAGATAAATTTTACTCCTCTTTAGCATTTTCCTGGTTATAATGGGTCATTGATGCAGCAGATAAAGAAAAAAACCCACGATGCTAGCTACTGTGTGTTGGGTTGCATAGCCTTAACTGTAGTTAAGGGTTTCCTTTATTGTATCGGTTAAGACAGTCGTAAAGTTTCGAAAATGATAATCAGATTTTCTGCTCGCTCTGAATGAGCTACTCTTTAGGGCTGTAGATGGCAGAAGTCTGATCTCTAATAGATTTAAGTAGTTTATCTTCAAGGATTATTCATCTGATGAGATGCTCTTCTGCATTTACGTGTATTTTAATACATAAGTCTGATACTATCACTGTTGTGCTAGAATGGCTGAAACAACACCGAAGTAAGTTTTCCTGTAATACTGATTATGTGTTTTTCTCCAATGCATTTTCTTCTGAATTGGACCGTTGTTGCTGTATCTGACATCTGGTGCTGCTCATCACCAACAAACCCTTGGAACATGATTTCTTACGTAAACTATGCATCAAACTGGTCTGTGAAATTGTTACAAAACGGTTTGTATTCAAACATGGCCAACTGGAATACACTTCAAAATGGGTTCTGCCATGTTTTATTTGTAAACTACAATAATGATACTTTCCCTCAAACCTCCTTTTTTTTTTTTCTTCTCCACGTTGCTAATACTGTGTTTTGCTTGCATATTCTATCTATACCTTTTGGGCTCTGTGCTTCACGGTGTGCTGGATCACGGGTACCGCTGCAATGGCTGGTCAAATATTTTTTAATGGAATAAAAACGGCAATATGGTCCTTAATGTAAACCTGATTATCACAATGGCCAATGCCAAACTCCTGAACAATATTAATTCTTGATCTGGGAATCCCGGTAAAACATCCCTGGTGTAATTACACATTTGAATGGGGTTGGGGACATGGGGGAAAATACCCATGTTAACACTTACTTTTAATGTAATTTTTTCTGGTGCTTGGGTTCAAAAAAGAAATCTTTGGAAATGAGGGAGAAACAAGCTGCCAAAGAAGAGAGACAGAAAGAAAAGAAAGTAGAAACAAGTGCAGAAAAACTGCGTAAGCTCTTAAAAGAAGAAAAAAGGTAACTTTGTGATATTCAGTATACCGATTATGTGGCAATAAATGCAGATAAGACTATGAACAATCCATTTCCAAACAGACTGTCCAACAGTAAGCTAGGTGGAACTTCTACCTGGGTAAGCTACTTTTCCTCCGGCATCTTTTTGTGGTTACTGTCCTTTAGTGCATATAACCTTTAACGGAGATATATGTGGAAGAGAAGTTGTTTAAAAAATACTTTGCAATGTGAAGTGTTTGCAAAGTGTAATGCCATATTAAACTGGGAAAGATACCTTTTATAACAACCTGTTTGCTGGATTTAATCTTAACTTTCTGATAAAGAAATGACATTTGAAATTCTCTTGCCAGGTCAGGCTCAGTTTCCATTCATGCCTTACAGTCCAATCTCAGCCAAACTGTGAGGAGTACAGATTTGCTTTCTACACATAATTTTTGCCTGATACTGAAGATTATCTCACAGGTTAATTACATTTTTTAGGTTGAAGAAGAAAAGGAAAGTATCAACTTCCTCCTCCTCCTCCTCCTCCTCATCATCATCATCAAGTGATTCTTCATCAGATGTATCAATTTCTTCTTCCTCTTCTTCCTCTGATCACAAGAAACATAGAAAAAAACGTCGGAATAGATCCGAGTCTGGCCACAGCTCCAAAAAATGCTCATCTAGAGCTTCTTCCCATTATAAAGATCAGATTAGGAAAGAGGAGTGGTATTCGCCTCCGGCTGATACCTCAGCTTCCTTTCTTAACCAAAATTTTGAAGTGGAAAAACTGCTGGAAAGGCAGGACAGCTTAGTGTGTCCAAAAACAGAAGTAAGAGAGAAAGACAGACACTGTTCTTTTTCGAGGACTTCAGGTGATGATGAAGACACTTTTGGAGGTAGGTCTGAAGATTCAAGAGATTCTTACAGTAGCTCCAGAATTCTGCCAAGTAGTAGCAAAACTGAAAAATATGGTAAAACTGATAGATTTTTCTCCAGTTGGAGGGGTTCTTCAGGTTCATACCGTAAGTCAGATGATGAACCCAGGCTGCATTATTTTAGGAAATTAGAAAGGGACGTAGAGGGGAGAAAAGAGCAGTTTAAAAGACATGGCTCAGGTCAAGACAGGTGTCATACGTCTCCAGCAGGGTCTGATTATTCTGGCAAGTCAGTGGGAAAGTACAGATTGTATTCTAGCACCTGCTTACGTGAAGGTGATAAAAGTTACGATAGTGATAGGCATGTGTTAAGCCAGCATAAAAATGAAAGCGAGTATAAGAATAGGAAAAGAAGCTATGAGGAGACTAGTAAAACAAAGGAACCAGAGGAGGAAATGTCTTTAAATGGTACCGCACAAACAGAAAGTGGCATTAAAAGAAACCTGCCCCAGAACTTAGTTAACATATTCAATCAAATAGCTGAATTTGAGAGGGAAAAAGGAAGTAAGCAGAAGAAGCAGTAAAGTACCTAAGAAAATGCTATTCTGATGAGCGTAGTTAAATGAACTTTTATCCGAGTATCGATCTCTTGAGGAAATGCATATGAAGAGCGATAGAAAGGCAGAATTTGTTCTGTCTCGCAGAACGTCAAAGAATTCTTAAAGATGGCGTGGTGGAAAGAGATGCAAGGATATCTTACATAAAATACCAGTTCCTATTTAAAATCTTAAGTTTCCTGTGCTTTTTTAACTTGGGATGTTCTTGTACAGTATGCTCTCTCTGATGGGTTGAAATCCTTTGATACCCCTGGACTGTAGTTAGTTGTGGAACTCACATCAAATATGCACTTTAACAACAGATGGTTTTTGGTTGGGTTGGGTTTTTTTTTTTTTTGGTCCCCTGGGGTACTATTGAGTTATTTTTGTATCAAACTTAACTTTAGCTATAGAAAGGGGATAACTGAGAGAAAGTCAGTCATGTGCTGTCAATGTATATAGCTCATTTGATCATTAAATTTTCTTAATTTTTTCTTAATTCTGTGTCTTGATTCTTGTTAACGGCGCTGGGATGTTTCATACTGGTGCACTGGTTATATATGCTGCTTAAGTGAACGGAACCCTCCAGTGTCTGTGAAGGCAAGTGTATTACATTCTTTAAACACATCAAACACGTTCTCTAAGAAATGTATAAAAAAAAAAAACAAAACCAAAAACCACAACAGAAGTAGAAGAGAGAATTTTAAAACAGCGTTTATTGTCTAGGTAAGTTCAAGTGTGGGCCTTTGTTTTTTGTCTGGGTTTTTTTGTTGTTAGGTATTTGCTTTACAAGTAGCTTGAAGGCAGTGGTTGCATTGCTGTGGAAAAAGTTACGCTCTATTTACAATGAGTTCTCCAAAGATGGTTGGCAGAACACGCTAAGGAGCTAACAGCTGGCAGACTATAAAATACCAATTGTACTTCAGCTGCAAGTTTTCCAAGTAATTCTGTAGAGAGTCAGTTGCAAAAAAGATACTGTGTAATTTTAAATAGAAAAAGTACAGTTTTTTCTGACTTTAATCATTTACTGTCATCTTTTGATTAATCTTAATCAGAGATGACTATTTGATTAATAGTCAAGGTTAATCTTGAAATGAAGCATACATTTTCTGTCCTGGGTTGTTGTAATGTAATCTACAACTATTTTGACAGCAGTGAAGATACCAGTTTACTAAAAGTAATGGCTTTAACATAACTCTCCATTCTATGAAAAATGAATTAATGGCTTCCGAAGGGTTTTGCAGATCTCTAGTTCTCCAACAGCAAAACGAGAAAGTAATTTAACGGTTGATTTTATTATATTACATAAAACACATGCTTAACATTTCTCCTAGATAATTTATTGCATACTGTAGAAGAAAGTTAAAACACACATTTCTGAGAGAAATTAATGCTAAGATTGCCAACAGACCTTGATAAATAAGTTGTTACAGATTAATCAATTAAGAAGCCGTAACTAGTGTTAAGCCTTTACTGTGGCCTTCAAAAGATTACTTGAGACTTTTTTTGCGTTTACAAACATCAGAGGTGCTAGCTCTGCTGGATGACTGTGAACCAACAGCAGCTGCTTCTGCAGGAGTGGTGATAGGCAAGCTCAGATCTATGACTTTGAGTGCGGACGTCTGACTAGAGCCTGAACTTGTGCTTCTGGATGATCTGAAAGACAAAATTTTACTCATCAGTACACAGAAATCCCTATATGTAAAATAGAGCGTCTAATGGTGGCTTACAGTAGAGCCACCCAGCAGCAGGGTTTATTCTAGGTAAGATCCCCTACAAAGATCATTGTAGACGTTGCCACTAACAGCTGAAGTAACCTGTGGGAATGTTGTCAGATTGTAACCGATGGGGCATGTTACCTGCACTATTAGTTCAACGGGGAAAGAGGACTGGTAAAAGCATACATGTCTGTCTTCCCTGTTTAATTAGGAAAGGGAGCTCATGCTACCAAGTGCAAAGTGTGGCTGGAGCTCAAACTTGTGCTTTTATAATGTGAAGCCACTTTTTAATTAGAGCACAGTTAGCAAAAGTAAGTGTAATTATTCTGTAATTATAGTTTTAAACTGTGATAGATGCAGAAGTAAACTTAATCGTATGCTAGAAAAATCTAGTAAACTTAAAGGTGGGAAAGTATAAGGAGAAAGTTTTTGTAGTGTGTTCAGGAAGTAGAGACAAGATTGAGATGACCTTGAGGAGTGAGGAATTCTGTCATTTAGGGACTAATTTTGCCGGTTTAAGCTTTAACTTGGGGAAAAAAAAAAAAGAGAAACCCAACAAAGCAAAAAAAACCATTGCTAGCACTTACCTGGTAGAAGCTACTGAGCTTTGTGTGGATGGTGATCGAGAACTTTGACTACCACCAGCAGAAGCAATTGTAGGAAGCTCTAAATTGGACTAGAAAATTTGGAAAGAAAAAAAAAGTTGACCTAATGGTTGTGTAATAGGACTGGGTATATCAGGAGGGTTTATAATCCTTTGTATTTGAAGAGATGTTGAAAGCAGATGAACACTTTCTGCTGTTTTACCGTAAGTATAGTTTATTGTTGAATTTAGGAGTTGCCCTTGAAAGACACTCAGCAGTAGACTAGAGCCATCAATCAAGAGTTTGGTGGCAGTTACCTGGAAAGCTCACCTGGTAAAAGTACATTTGAAAGGGTGTAGTTAAATCAGGATTTGCTTCTAGAACATCAGCTAACAATTTGTCGATAGTTCTGTTGAAGCTTTTCAGTTCACGAAGATCAATGTCTCTTTCTTCCTGTGTTTCTGATTTAGTTTTCTTCAGAGACTGAATCTCTCTGGATAGTCTGGAACACTTAACACAAATATTTTTAAAGCATTGCTATGATGAAAATGCAACGCTTTCGGAAGCCTGCTAAGTTTAAGTTCTGTGATTTTAACCATTCTACTGTCTATCACTATAGAGTTAGAAGTTGTCGTTACTGAATATACACACCTGTTTTATAACCCTTTCTAGTTTGGGCTTCTGTTCTTCTATGTCTTTGTTCAGCTGCAAAATAAGAGCTTGTTTTTCCTTCTTTTGCTCTTGGAAGAGGGCCTCCTGCTTCAGTACTGTATCAAAATTTTTTTCCATGCTCTGCAAATCCATTTGAACAGCAGTTTTAGTTTATAAAGCAGTTCTGATATCCTTTCACTTCTTGTATTACTTTGTGGGAGGGTCTGTTATTGTGCTACTACTTGTTTCTAAATGTAGCTCAAGCAATTAATACTAATGATAACACAACTCAAAACTTTCTGCCAGTCAGACTGCGTAGTGGAGAAATACCTGGGTAAAGAGACCACCAGGTAATTTAGGTATCTTTAAAAAATTACTGTAATTTTAATTACCATAATTAATGAAGTTATAAGTATGTATTTTCAGACGTGCCTCTGAGCAGTAACTACAAATGACTTAGCACAGTACCAACTTACTCGTGCAAGCTACCCTAAGAAAAATAACGTTGTTCCCTGCGGGAAGAGATGGATACCTTTGACTAGAATGAATAAAGTCAGCTCTGTAAGGGTGGCTCTGTTTTTAAAAAAATAAATAAAAAGGGTATGCCTTAACACCTCATTATATGTAGGACTTATTCCCTGATGAAGATGTGTCCCTCTTCTTTAATTTCAGAGATGTTATTTCTTAAGTAAGGTATATGTCCTATGGTGGTAGAATAAGCCATAGGAACATTTGTTGACCTGTGGCCAGTGCCTCAGGGCTTAGAATAATCATGTGGGTTATAACAGGGTGCCTTTGATTTCTTCTGCCTAAGAAAACTTTAACTAAAACGTCACACATCAGAGCTAAGCGTTGTTCTTTCTTAAGGGCCAAGTAGGCTTTTTGATAACAAGGGGAACCAAGAGTAAGTCCTTGATGTGAAGCCTGAACACAGCCATCCTTTACCTGCATTTAGTGCTCGGCCTGCTAAGTTAAGAGTCAGCCAGCTTTCTTGAGCTAAATTAATGCTGTTTAAACTGAAGCACCCCGAATGCTAGTCAGACAGAATATGTTCTCCTAGAAGAATTCTGAGACATGCCAGAGGACACAAGATGTGTGGATTGTAATCTCTGCTGTACTGGACAGGATGATACAATACAGTGATACATGCTACACAAAAACATACCTGCTTTCTTGGATGCCAGAACAGAGCATCTGTCAACGTGCATCTGGGATTTTGAAACTTCTAGCTGTAATGTGACTAAAAAGCCTGAAGGCTCCATTGTGATTCAAGAAAATTCAAATAAACACTCAATTTTCGAAAGAAGAGGTAGAACCTTCTACAAAATCATATCCATCTATTCATAGAAAGCATAGGATATAAAAGAACAGGCAAAAACTTGTCCCAGAATTTCCTATTCTTTCAAGGGGATGGCTTGCATGGATTTAGCTACATGCTGCAGCCTTGTCTGCCGACCAGAATTTTTGCTTGTATTTTACCTGGAGATTTTCCTGAAGTTCCTTGATCTGTCTTTGTTTGTATCTGTATTTTTCATCAGCAGCCCTTTTCTCCTCCTCTAGTTTCAGTTTTTCCTCATATTCCTCACCTGTGATCCAAACAATGAGGCAGCATTAATGCTGGACAAGCAGTGTATACAACTCAATTTTCACTTCAAAGTAAGTTGCACTTTAAAGTAACTGCATCACAGAGTATTTACTGTATTAGTGTTGGCAGTATTAAAGAGACCTCAAGGTTTAAGCATTTGTTGTTTGGTTTTTTTTTTTAAAGTGCATGCTCTACTACTAATTCCAAATCACTGTAAAAAAGTAACTGGCTTCATGAGAGAGAATGATTTAAGAGCTACTGTTTCCAGAGCCAGCGGAGGGCACAAAAGTTAAATATTTTCTAGAATTAAGTTTATCTAATTTCTCATGGTGATGCTTTTTATACGCTAAAGAAAGTAAGTTCCACAAAAGGAGAGCAAGCTTATGAAGTCTGAGTGGCAACAGAAACAACAGATGCAGATTATTTTCCAGAATTCTGAGGAATTTACAATATCCAAAAACTTGCAGTTAGGTAGTCCATAATTGAAAATTTACTGACACTATACCAAAATAGTGCAGTTTAAGTTTTACTCTTCTTCATCATTTTTCCAGATGACAGGTTAGTACTTTTTTCCCCCCCTTCCATGTGAAAATCAGAGATGATGAAGCTAAGGGATCAATCTTCATCACTGGAGTACATGTACCTAAGCTGCCTATATAGTTGCTCTGGGTACGGTTTTGTGCCCAGGCAGGCTCAGTCTCCCACGAGAAGGCCAGCAGTGGCACAGCTTGTTCTGCTTCTGCAATTTGAATTAGTGTGTATAGAGAAGGTAGTGTTTTCTGTACTGTGCAAAGTTTTATCCACTAGACCTATGTACTTCAGTGGGCACTCCTTTCTCCCAGTAACAACTTTTTTTCCCCCCAGTATTGTCTTTACGCTTTGCCTCTTCTGGATGTTCCCACTTACGACTAGTCACAAAATTTATATAGGTTTAGAGATTTTTCACATAAATCAGATGTAAGAACATAAATATTAGTTACTTACGCCTTACTGCACTTCCTTGTGTGCTTATTCTGCTGAACTATTCACAGTAGCATGTGAATTACATTCCCTTTTGCTACTATCCGTTTAGTCTCTCTCTGTGATTCATTCTTTTGTGCCATGGAATTTCCCTACTATATACCTGAGTTATACCATCATCTGTAACTCACACAGCAAATGGCAATTTCTATTTTACATACTTGTCTCAGTGACTTCCTTGAAAGAGTTTCGGTAATTGCTGTTGCAGTTATTCAGTACACACAAAGTGTTTTCCAGCGCTACAATTTCTTTTTCAGCTTTGCAGATCTTTGCATCTAAATCATCACCTTCACGTTGAAGTGCTTCTTTTTCCTGTGCAGC